AGATTCTCAAAGACTGCAGCTATTCTCCGGTTCGTATTGGATTTCTGTTTTCATTGTCGACTGATACAAACAAATGTTTTCGACTGCGAATTTAGCGAACGATGAAAAATTTTTCTTCTGAGAGACTTCTTCAGCTATTACGCCAGTCTATAGGCGACGAATCGGTATGCAACACTTTAAGATGTAATCCAGCATCTATGCTTTACGATATGCAGCAACAGCGAAATTGATCTCTTCACGCATACATAATACATGGATGAATTTGATTGTGCTACCGAAAGAGGGATAAATAAATACGAATGGAGACAACGTTTGGTAGAACAGTAGCGGATGAGCATACGATGGTTACTGCTTCATTTCACGGTCATTTAGTTGTTTCGGTGTTTCGTTTCACCAACATTCGGAGGAAAACTTTTGAAGTTGAACGCATCAAAAAATCAACTCGATTGTTCACCGGATTCTAATTGAGCGCTCAGCGCTGCTGTGGACATCATTTGGAGCAGATTCTGAAAGTTTTCTTATGATTACGAACGTCGATTCGATCTTCACACTGGATTCAGAAACAGATGATCTTGCAATTTTTATGTGAGTTTTATGGCTTAATTCAAGCGAAAAATTTCCTTCTGATGATAGATATTTTGAGGTATTTGATGTTGATTTTAAATCATCGAACATTCATTTAACCACTTTTGTCAAGTCACTCGATTAACATCGAGATATTTGCAGTGAAATGATGCAAGAATGGGCCAGGAAATGTGAAAATGAATGAACCTGCTGTAATGTGAGGGAGTTCATCGGGAAAAGAAATTGTTGATTTGAATTCGAGCTGTCGGATTTGCCACCGAATAAACTTGATGTGTCTGAGCCTGGAACAGTTAAAAATGTCAAATACCAAAAAAAATCATTGCATTTAAGATATTATTTGGTGCAGTTTAAACACTCCAGAGAACTCATAGAAATGCTTTAAAAATGTACGAAAATAAAAAATTTATTTAAATTCTTGAGCTGCCGAAAAGGTTAGAACATTTTCTGCATTTCAGAGCTGGATTTTTTTAGTTTACATTTTGTCGGTTGAAAGATTCTTCCTATGATATGATCGCATAAAAGTGCTTTCGAGAGTGAAACAAGCTCTAAAGTCAACATATTTCATGCTCAGTTTTATTCAACATGCACCAGAGGAATTGAACTCAACATCAAACTGATCCACATAAAACATTCACTATAAAAAGTTCACGGTTCATGCACGAAGTAATGCGAACCTTCTCCATTCGTATAAACGACTCCTTGTGGTACTTGATACATAACAGTGTTATTGGATGTGGATGTTGATGCTGTTGTGTTCAGACCTTGAATTTGAAAACAGTCAGCATGAAATGCGATCAGGCCGAAGGGACAATTGTGGAAAAAAGTCTTTTCGGGTCGTACACCGATTCCTTCAGCATAGGACTGATTCACTGGAGCATGAGAACAAATTGTTCTCGGCGAATGGCATCGCTATTGATGTTGAAAGAACCCCTACTCCTAGTGGTATGATAAGCCTTATTGTGAATGTTGCTTGTGATGAATAAGTAAGTGAATGTTAAAATTGGTTGCATGGTGATGAAAATACGTTCAAACAGATGTGATTTTGTGCATTTTTCATAATCAACATTTGAACATTTGTACCACGAACGGCTCACATTCACATTCATGACATTCATATGTATGCATCTATCAAACACCACCACCAACACATACAACAAACACACTTATGGATTATGCATTTGCATTATGGCATTGTAAAGTGAGCATTATGAAACGAACAAGTGCTTTGCAATTTCCGAGCAAATTACTCACGTAGGAGTGAATGAGTTAACAACGATGGCATTTTTTCGCTTGTTAGGAGAATGAGCAATAAATTCACTTTTTCCTGATATGTATGTGGATTTATTTGCAAATCTGTTTGAAGAGACTCAAAAAAANAAAAAAATCATCTGAATTTATCTATGCATAGGAAATGCTCAACATCGAAAAATTCTGCTGCCGCTGCTAGGCAGTGGTGATTTTCGACTATACGAATGTTCACTGATTATCGTTGAACGATGAATCAAGCTCAGCAAATCGAATTGCTCGAAGTGATATTGTGTGCTGAATGCAAGTGCTGCTGTGCTGCGATCGGTGTGCTGGGTGCAAAACAATTTTGTTGAATGCGATGATCATTCGTAGAAGTTTCATTCACCTGGTATGAGAAATGGCGTGAGCAGTGATAAATTCGAGGCCATTGTTTGAACGTTATTTTTGGCTTTGTTTTTTTGCATTTGCCGTTGAGCAGCTGCGACGCGGAGTGCTTCCTTTAGTGTTTGTTGTAATGTCAACGATCGAGCCGCATCTGAAAGAAATTCTTCACTAGTTTGGCTGCTGCTGCTGCTGCTACTCACAACCTACCGACATAAACCACCACATCAAAACATCTCAATGATAAATTCTCGCTGATAGCTGATATCAGCGCAATTATCACCGATAAATTGTATTGATAACCGGATCTACAGACAGTCTTTTCAATGCACTGTATGCAATGCTTGAAGCTTATACTCTGGATTGCATGAA